TTGCCAAACTAGGGAAAATGTTCTCCCTGCAATTGCTGGTACTCACTGCAGGGCCTATGGGTTCTCAACCTGCTGATTCTCAGCCTGCTATGGCATGGCCACCACAGCTCTGTGTTTGGGGAAGAGGACAGAGGCCACTCGCCCACTTGTTCCACTACGTATGGAACTAGTGGAAAAATCTGAAATCTTAAAAGACTGATCTCTCCTTTAGATTGGCCATGGTCCTTACTTCTCAGGAGATGGGTAAGTTAAATGAGTTTTTACAAGATCTTTAATGAGATGACTTAATCTCTGTACTCTGTGTGTTTGATTAACCCCTAAAGATTAACCAGGCCACTGTGTGGTTTTTATGAAGAGGCTGAACATAAGCGTAGCCCTCACTGAGGGTGACTTCACACTTCTAAGTACCCTTGACCTACATGATAGTACTTAATTATTCACCAGACCCAGGCTTACTACAGAGTCAGTCCTGACCTCTGACCACTTGAAGGAATATCATCAGCTCTATTCATCCTACAGTTTCACTTTAACTATTCTACTCTCCATACTTTTATTAATATATTAACAGTACATTGTTGATAATGAAATATATTCTGAGAAAGCATATTTCAAGGCTACACACATTGATTGTTCAAAATGGTCTACAGTAAGTGTATTGTTCAATGAACATGTGCTACTTTTCTTTTTTTATTTATTTTTGTATCAGAGGTTGAACCCTGGAGCACTTAACCACTGAGCCACATCCCCAGCCCATTTTTTTATTTTATTTTGAGACAAGGTCTTGCTAAGTTGCCTAGGGCCTCATTAAGTTGCAATCTTCCTATCTCAGCCTCAAGAGCCACTGGGATTACAGGAATGCACCACTGTGTCCGACCATGTGTTACTTTTATAATTACAGGATGCCTCAAAAATAACATCAACGATGCAGAATGTAGTATGGTTTAAAGTCACGCAGACGTGCAAGCCTGAAAACTATTCTATTGATCATGTGTGTTAGTCTGGGTCCTTGGAGAAGCAGGTGCCAAAATAGAATTAAGTGCAAAAGAATTCTAGGAGAGGAAATGCCTGAGGGAGAGAAAGGGAAGGGAACCAGATAGGGCTGGGAGCACAATGCATGGCCACCTTGACTAAATGAGAGGGGAAACTTTGGGTGGAAACATTCCAGACTGCAGTCCTCTCCAAGGACGGTTTGGCAAGGCTACTCTTGAACCAAAGTTACCCGTTAAGGAGTCCCTCATCTTCCAGGGACAGCTCTTCCTAGGCGGCCTCCTGTTATGTCATCACTGAGGGAACAAAATATAGTACTACAATCCAGGATTTCAGAATGCTGCAGTTGGACACTTGGGCTATGGCCCATGTGGATGGTCCTGTGATTCCGATTCTCATGATCATCACAATATGATAATCATAAAAATCTTAAAAGTTTACCACCATGTTTTCCATCATAATCTATAAAGCAGTGGTGTCCACAAAATGTCCCTGTTGATGTCAGTAATTGACTTCTACACTATTTGAAACCTTAGATGTTAAAGATGCTTGTCTTGAAGCTTTTTAATGTATTTTTGGTTCAAGTTTATTGAAGAGTGGATAGGCTGATCAAAACTACAGAGCTCCCAGTTCTTCTACCTAAGAGATTTCTCTTTCTACTAAAATGTAAGGAAAGAAATATGTTTAAGAGACAACTAATGGCAGTAACAAAGTCCATGAAATGTGCAGTTTTGCCTTTATAGGTCCAGGCAGCACAAGCATGAGCCTAATATCTTTAGTGGTGATATTTACACGAGAGAACAGTTTTACAACTAGATAATTCTAAAATACACTATAGTGACACGTAGATGAAAATTATTTTATAATGGCAATCTCAGGTCTCTTTGGTGATACACTTTGAAAAGAGAAAAGCTCATATTATATTAGCAATTAAATTTAGCTAAAAGAAAAGCCTCAAACCCAGAGGGCTGTTACCAAATCTTACAAAACAGTTCAGAACTTGAATAACATAACGAGGTGTAAAGAACTGAGGTTAAACAAGAAATGGAATTATGAATAAAATCCCATCGTGGTTCCAAAGGCAATGTAAAATACCATTGTTAAATCAAACTGGTGGATTTTTAAAATTCATTAACATACTTAAGCTTCTAATAATTTTGAATATTTATTATGTCTCTGAAGTATCTCAGCAGCTGAAAATTACATGGATGATTGCTGAGTCAATTTTCTGCCTTTACTAAAAGCATAATTTTTTTTTTTGGTGGTACTGGGTGGGGAATTGAATGCAAGGCCTTGTGCAAGCTATAACCTCAGCCTCTAAAAGCATAAAAATCTGAACACATGTTCATTAAACAATACACTTCTCATGAATGAGCAAGTTTAAACAGTTGAGGCAGGCATCAGTGTCAGCGAATCCAACCCAGTGGGCAGAAAAGGCACCAGGAGACCCAGCCTAAGTGCCTTCAAATTTAGGATAGTATATTTTACAAATATGTCCATTTTATGCAGGGTGCCTCCTTACAGGGAACTGGATCCAAGGAAGTCCAGAGTTAGGTTCCAACCAAGAATGCTTCAGGTATTCTGTCTTGGAAAGGGGTTGGAGAGACTACAATTTTGGGGGATCTTAAATGTCTCTCAAGGGCCCATGTGTTTAAGGCCTGGTCCCTGGCCTCCAGTCCATGGTGTTACTGGGAAGTGGTGGAGTCATCAGGAGGTGGGGCCTACTGGAATAAACTTAGATCGTTGGGAATGTTCCCTCTAAGTGTGTGTTGGGATTCCCACCTGTTCGTTTATTTATTTATTTATTTAAGCAGCTTGTTCCTCCATGTGCTCCCCATCATAATTTGCTCCCTTGCCACAAGCTTAAGCAATGGGGCCAATAGACCAAGGACTCATACCTCTGAAACCCTGAACCAAAATAAACCTTTTCTCTTTTAAAGTTGATTATCTCTAGTATTTTCTTATAGTAATAGAAATCTGACTAACCCAGGGATTTAGTACAGTCATCAAAGGGACTCTGGGTTCAGGATCAAGGCACATGGCTAAGCAAAGACTCAAGGATGGGGATCATTTTACCTAAAGGAATTTGTAAGATTCCAGAAGCCAATTCTGTTTGGCAGTTGGGATAGAGGTACTTCCTGCATAGGCACCCCCTTTCTTTTCTCAGTCTGTCCCTGCATTTGAGTCCACTTCCCATCCTCTATTATCCTGTGTAAGTGTGTACTTCCTCATGCTGACAAGTCTTAGTTCAAAGCTCCCACATGTTCCCATCTATTTTGCAGTTCTCACTTCTTCAGCCACAATAACTTCTTTGTTGTATTTTCTGCCTAAAGACCAGCTAAAATTCAAGACCAGGCTGCTGAGTGGTGGCTCTGAGAATTTTTCAGCCTTTTCTAACATTTTTCTCACAGGGGCATATTTATAGGTATTGCGAACAGAAGATATTTACAGGTACTGCAAATCCCATCCCCATAGGTCTGCCTCACAGCACCGTATCCCACTCACTAACTTCAATCCCCTCAAGATTCAGAATAACACTAGTTTAGGCTGAATTGAACAAGTCTCTATTTGGGCATTATTGGATTTCTGATTATTCACCTCTATCCAAAAGAAGTGACCTTTCTCTGTCTTGTATATAAAATCTTCATTCTGAAGGAGTCACCCATGTACACAACTGTGTGTAGAGTGCCATCTGCTGGTGAAGTGTAATATTACTGTTATAGAAGTTTTCAAAGTTCTGCACCATGCTTGATGAAGTAACAGTGTGCCACATAATGCAATCACCTGAGGATCATCCCGATATGAGCAGGCCATGTGGAACAGCAGATGACAGTACTCAATTTGAAGGAGGCAGAAAGGTGAAGAAAATTAAGAAGGTGGAGATTCCTTTTTTTTTAAAGAGAAAGAGAATTTTTTTAATTTTTATTTTTTATTAGTTGCTGGAGACAATACAATGATCTTGACATATCATACATTTGATTCAAATGGGGTATGAATTCTCATTTTTCCACGTGTACAGATTGCAAGATCACATTGGTTCTACAGCCAGGTATATACATACAGCAACACTAGTGTCTGTTGTATTCTGCTGCCCTCCCTATCCCCCGCTCCCCTCCCCTCCCCTACCATCACCTCTCTCTACCCAATCTACTGTGACACATTTCTCTCTCTAAAAGAGAGAATTTTTAATATTTATTTTTTTAGTTTTCGGTGGACACAACATCTTTATTTTTTTTATTTTTATGTGGTGCTGAGGATTGAACCCAGTGCCCCTTGCATGCCAGGCAAGCATGCTACCGCTTGAGCCACATCTCCAGCCCATGTGGTGGAGATTTCTTACTATGCTTATTTCTCTGCATAATTTAAAGGAAGCCAATGATTGATTTGACTTTTTTAAAAAATGCATGAAGTGAGTAATCTATTACTAATATTAGATGGCCAAGGATTGTATCTCAATATTGTTAATATTAGGATTTAGAAGGTAAGATGGAATGTTAATCATACAACGTGACCTTCACTCACTTGATGCCCACTATGTTCTCTTGAGTGGAATGAAAAGGAGCTGTTCCAGCAGTGCTAGCTAGCATACTTGGAAGTGCACACAACACTGTACATAAGCTTAAGAGTGGACCACTGCAGCAAACATCCAGACTACATCCCCAGATGGGGGAAAATCAATATCAATAAAAACTTATTTTTTTAACATTTTCTATTCCTGGAGATATTTTCATCATCTTACCATCACGATCCTGTAGTGAGATCACAAATTATGTAAATCTCTATCTATAAGTCATCTTCTCAGAAATGAGCCAACTTCTGACCAACTGCTAAATCTATCCTAGGGCTTTGTGTTATGCATTTCGCATGTAACGCCTCCGTAGCCTTCATTTGATCTATGCTATTCTCTTTTATCCCCTATTCCATACTCCTCTCAAGTTATCATGTCATGAGCATTTATATATTATAAGCTACCTTATCCATTCTGGAAGATAAGATAAAAATAAACATCCAGATTTGTTTGGGGAGGCTAAAGTTTTATTGTTCATAACCATGCATTTTTTCATCTTGAGATGAGGATTTCCTCCAAACAAGGACTTTCTTATTATTCCTCCCCGGAAGCTGTGACACACAATTATATGATGATGTGAACCTAGGCATTATCTTCTTACAGTTCTATGAAAAGAAAGAATACATTTAATAAAGTCAATGTCAACACTTTATGCTATTTGTAAAACAGCTAGGAGTTTCCATACTGAAGTCTTGAACAAAAATTCCCTGACATGTGGTATAATCACAGAACTTAGGAGGTGGGTCCTTTTATTTTATTTATTGATTTAAAAAAAATGACAGCAGAAAGCACTACAATTCTTATTACAATATATACCACAATTTTTCATATCTCTGTATATAAAGTATGTTGACACCCAATTCGTGTCTTCATACCTGTACTTTGTATAATGATATCCATCACATTCCACCATCCTTGCTAATCCCCTGCTTCTTCCCTTTCCATCCCACCCCTCTGCCCTATCTAGAATTCATCTATTCCTCCCATATCCCTCACCCTACTCCACTATGAGTCAGCCTCCTTATATCAGAGAAAACATTTGATTTGGGGGGGGATTGGCTAACTTCACTTAGCATTATTTTCTCCAATGCCATCCATTTATCTGCAAATGCCATGATTTTATTCTGTTTTATAGCTGAGTGATATTCCATTGTGTATATATGCTACATTTTTTTTATCCATTCATCCACTGAAGGGCATCTAGGTTGGCTCCAAAGTTTAGCTATTGTGAATTGTGCTGCTATAAACATTGATGTGGCTGTGTGCCTGTAGTATGCTGTTTTGAAGTCCTTCGGGTATAGTCTAAGGAGAGGGACAGCTGGGTCAAATGGTGGATCCATTCCCAGATTTCCAAGGAATCTCCATACTGCTTTCCATATTGGCTGTACCAATTTGCAGTCCCACCAGCAGTGTATGAGTGTACCTTTTTCCCCACATCCTCACCAGCACTTATTGTTGTTTGTATGCATAATAGCTGCCATTCTGACTGGAGTAAGATGATATCTTAGAGTAATTTTGATTTGCATTTCTCTAATTGCTAGAGATGCTGAGAATTTTTTCATATATTTGTTGATTGGTTGTATAGCCTCCTCTGAGAAGAAGTGTCTGTTTAGGTCCTTGGCCCATTTGTTGATTTTATTTTATTTTTTGTTTTTGTTTTTGTTTTTTTTTAGGTCTTTATGTAGAGATGAGTGCTCTATCTGATGTGTGAAGGCTAAACATTTGCTCCCAGGATGTAGGCTTCTGTTCATCTCACAGATTATTATTATTTTTTTTTTTTTGCTGAGAAAAAAAAATTTAGTTTGATTCCATCCCATTTATTGATTCTTGGTTTTAATTCTTGTGCTACAGGAGTCTTATTAAGGAAGTTGGGACCTAATTCCACATGATGAAGATTAGGGCCTACTTTTTCTTCTATTAGACATAGAGTCTCTGGTTTAATTCTTAGGTCCTTGATCCATTTTGAGTTAAGTTTTGTGCATGGTGAGAGATAGGGGGTTTAATTTCATTTTGTTGCACATGGATTTCTGGTTTTCCCAGAACCGTTTGTTGAAGAGGCTATCTTTTATCCAGTGCATGTTTTTGGCACCTTTGTCTAATATAAGATAATTGTTATTTTGTGGGTTGGTCTCTGTGTCCTCTATTTTGTACCATTGGTCTACCAGTCTGTTTTGATGCCAGTACCAAGCTGTTTTTGTTTTAAACCTATACATCATTCCGTTCATCATCAAGGATTTAAAAAGCAAGTAGTGGCCATTTCCTGCTCCCCCTGGCTGCCGTGTCTTGGAATCTGCCACGATGCCATGATGAAGACCTCTGTGCTCTTCGGCGGGTCCTTCCTCCTTTCTCTGATATTTTAGAATTATTCTGGACTCAAACCAGCAGGGACCTCCATCTGTTCTGATGATTGACTGACAGAATGAAAAGAAGGCCCTTTGATAATGACACAGAAGTTAAAATGGGTGACATTAGCCTGGGAGATGATTGTCCTGTAACAAGGATGCTCTCATTCAACTATGAGTTTTCTTATCCTATCATTTACTGTGGGATCAATAAATTTGTGTTCCAAGGGAATGATGTCTTCATATCATTTAAGGTCAATCACAGATCAACGTTGAATATCACCTATACCTTCCAGGTGGTTTGCTTTGTGAAGAGGCTTCAGTTCTCATCTCTGATGCCTTTTGGAATGAATGGGTATGATGCCAAATATGTTGGGTAATAGCTTTGAAGTGACAAAACAAGGGCAACCATTGTCAGCTCCCTTGACAAGCAAAGCATGTTAACCTAATTTTAGTGTTACAGTAAGGTTTTGAGTATTCATGAATCCCTGGACCAATAATGCCTGTGTAATGACTTCCTTTCTTCCCTGAGTTCTAGGAGCAAGTGGTGCACCCTCATCTGGGATTCAGTTTTGGTATTACTGTTGTTCTGTCTTCCCAAGATGAGTACCAATATGTGCTCTCTTTTAAAATAACCCTTCTGGAAGTTTTGGATAGTCTACATCTCTAAAATGTGATGTTTAAACATTTTAAATGAGTCAACTGGAAGTGGCATTACCATTGCAACTTTGTATGTGAAGCCAAGTTCATAATAAAGCTGCTACCATGTGAAAAATAAATAAATAAAACGTAATAAGGTGATGAACAAATTTTTGCAACAGGGTTAAAAAATATGAACTTGTCAGTAAGCACAGCATTCTACCCCATCGATTCAAGGACTCGAGGTTGACCCACAGGTCCAGAAGTGAATTGGAAGGAGCTGAGTAATACAACAGGACTGATCATGTGGCTATTCACTGGACACGTGGAGAGGCTGGAGTGGGAAGGATGGGGCATGAACTGGGGAAGCAGCTCCAGTTTCAGGGGGTCCAAAGGACTCTAGGAGCAAAGAAGCCCATGAAGAGTCTGACAGATTTATTGTTAGTGTTGCTGTATTTTATATGAAAGAAAAATTTGCTCTATTTTTATCTTTTGAAGAACATTATTGAAGACTTATTTTTAAGAGTTATGGCTAAGTGAAGTTAGCCAATTCCTGAAAAACAAATGCCAAATGTCTTCTCTGATGTAAGGGGGTGACCCAAAATGGGGTAGGGAGGAAGAGCATGAAAAGAAGATTACCACTAAATAGGGAAGAGAGGTGGGAGGGAAAGGGAGGGAGAAGGGGAATTGCATGGAAGATGGAAGGAGACCCTCATCGTTATACAAAATACATGTATGATAATGTGAGGGGGAAAAAAACAAAAATGTGTCACATTAGTTGGGTAGAGAGAAGTGATGGGAGGGGAGAGGAAGGGGGGGAGGGAAGGACAGCAGAATAAAATAGACATTATTATTGCTGTGTTTATATACGTGACTGCATGACTAATGTGATTCTGCAACCTGTACACTCAGAAAAATGAGAAATTTATACCCCATCTGATTCAAATGTATGATATGTCAAGATCATTGTACTGTCAAGTGTAACTAATTAAAACACATAATAAAAAAAGAGTCATGAAATAGGAATCACATACATCTTCCTTTAAAAAAAGTCATAAGAATAGCCTAATTTTCCATCATTTGGGGAAGCATTTTTAGGTGCTATTGCAAGGGATTCTTGTGTTTCTCTAAGGCACCATTCTTCCTTATTTTACTTTATTTTTTACCATTTTAATCATATACATATATGCATGTGTGTACATTATGTATGAAATAAAATTTGCCATTGCAACCACTTATATGTGTAAATAAGTGGTGTTAATTACATTCACATTTTTTGTAACTATTACGATAATCTATTTCCAAAATTTTTCATCACCCTAAAAAGAAACTTTGCTTCTCATCAAGAATTTTTTTTTCCTTTGCTCCAGGAAGTAACCTACAATCTTACTTTCTATCTCTCTGGTTGCCTTTTCTAAGTAACTCACAAGGCTGAAATCATTCCGTTTCTGTCCTTTTGTGTATGGCTTATTTCATATAGCAAAATGTTTTCTTTTTTTGTAATCTGCATTTTTTATTTGTTCTTTTTAAATATACATAAAAGTAGAGTACATTTTGACATACTATACACACATGGAGTATAACTTATTCTAATTAGGTTATACATGATATGGAGTTTCACATGTCACTATTCATATATGAACATAGGAAAATTATGTCCAATTCATCCTATTGTCTTTTCTAATCCCATCCCCCTTCCCTTTATTCCCCTTTGTCTAATCTAGTGAACTTCTACTCCTCACCCACACATACTCCGTTGTGTGTTAACATCCACATATCAGAGAGAACATTTGGCCTTTTAGTTTTTTGGTATTGGCTTATTTCACTTATCATGATAGTCTCCAGCTCTTTCCATTTACTGGAAAATGCCATACTTTCATTATTCTTTATGGCTGAGTAATATTCCATTGTGTATATATACTACATTTTCTTTGTCCATTCATCTGTTGAAGGGCACCTAGGTTGGTTCCATAGCTTAGTTATTGTGAGTTGATCTACTATAAACATAGATGTATCTATATCAGTACAGTATGCTGATTGTAAGACCTTTGGGTATATGTCAGGGAGGGGGAGAAATAAATCAAATGGTGGTCCTAGTCCAAGTTTTCTGAGGAATGTCCATACAAGAAAAATGTTTTCAAGGTTCATCCACCTCATGTTATGCATCAACACTTCATTCTCTTTTGTGGCTGACTGTTTCCTTGTATGGATGTATCACATTTTGTTTACTCATTCACCTGTTCATGGACATGGTTGTTACTGCCTTTTTGCTATTGTGAATAATTTTTCTATGTCATATAAACACACATTTGAATTCTGTTTTCAGTAATCTTGTGTAGGCATCCACTAGTGGAACTGCTAGTTCAAATGATAATTTCAGGCTTAATTTTTTGAGGAACTGCCAACTATTTTCCACAGCAACTACCTGGTTTACACTTCTGCCAGCTGTGTTCCAAGGAACCCATTCATCCACATTCTCACTACAGTTGTTGTTTCTCTCTTTTTGTTTCATTCCATTCATATATTAATGTACATGATATTTTAGATTTTCTAGAGAAAAGGTCTTGTTATCTGCCAATTTTATTTTTCTGCCACTTTGTTTTTCTTTTCCAATTTATTGCATGTATTTTATTTTTGCCTAACTGTCCTCCTTAGAGTTTCCAATACTATGTAAAATAGAAGTAACAAAAGTGAAAATCCTTGTGTTCATGATCTTAAAGAAAAATCTTTTAGCCTCTTAACCCTGAATGTAACATGAGCTGCATAATTTTCATACATGGCATTAATCATATATTGAGGAATTTCTTTCCAATTTTAGTTGATTGGTCATTCTTGTTTATTGGTTGCTAGATTTTTGTTGAGTGCCTTTTTCTGCATAGTTGAAGTGATATCTGTCTTCCTTTATTCTATTAATGTGGTGTATTTCATTAGATAACTATCAAGTGTTAAACCATCTTTGCATTACAGGGATAAATGTCACTTGTTCCTGGTGTTTTTGTGTTTGTCTTTGGACCTTAAGGGAGTCTTTGTAGCAACATAAACAGGGATCATAAACTTTAATTCATTCTTCAAATCTCTGCCTTTAAGGTGGAGAATGCATTGCTCTTATCTTTGAAGTAATTCCTGATTAAAGTGATTTATTTCTGTTTTCTGTGGGTCCTACATGGTTTTTCTTCCTCCATTCCTCTCTTAATGCCTCAATTTGGGGTTTAGTTGATTTATTTTTGTCATACAACATTTTATTTCTCTTTTCTGTAAATTTTTAAAGTTATTTTCTTCATGGTCACCTTGGGAATTACCACTCATATTCCTAAGTTTATATTAATCTAGTTTGAATAATACCAACTTAATTTCAAAATTTCACCCCCCCCGCCCCCCACTTTATCAGGGTTTGCTCTTGCTGAAGTGTAAAGACTGAGTTTGTCTTAGCCAGCTTAGAAAAGCACCACCATCAAATACCTCTCTGAGTCTCTGTGACTGTCCCTCTGCTGGCCCACTTCTTTAATGATTAGGCCATTGACAATTCTAAATCCATCTTCACTTCCTGCTTGTACTGAGTCTGTCCATGGACCAGCAGTGAAAACTTAGGGTCTTTTTCGGAGCACACATCTAGTTTTGGGTATGAGCATAGCCTTCCAAATTCTTCAGTGTGCCCTAGTATTCCTGAATGCCCTATTCCCAAGAATACTCTCTCCCCAGCTTTTTTTCCCTGAAGGTAGGTGATCAATTAATGCCTCAGTCATCTTTGACCCCAGGTAGTGGTGGGGTTTTCAGTCTCTACAGTGTTTTCGAGCATTGTCCACTTGCTTTTCCACCTGAGTGATTTTCCAGTGAACCGATTTCTGATTGAAGTCAAGAGGAGTGCCTTGTTCAGACAGTTTCTGGAAAGGGTACAGTAATGCCACAATTGTTGGTGAGTGAGGAGATCTGCTCTTTGGAACCAGAGAGTAGGGGTTTCCCTGGTAATTCAGGCCTCCATCTTTAGGACTGTCAGCTGGTGACACGGTGAGACAGGTCAAGTACAAAGGCCACAGAGGATTCATGTTATTTTAAGTTGCCGTTACATTGACTCTTGGTTTCTGAAGATCTTTAGTGTCTGGAGTCCTGAAAAAAAAAAAGTTGTTTCTAAAAGCCTCTTATTTCTTCAGTGTTCCTAGAAGGAGGGAAGCTTGGAGCTGCCTTTCTACCATTTTGGTGTCAACCACTCCAACAGATCAATTCAGATATCCTCTACCAAACATGACCAAATCACAACTCAAGGTAGTCCCTTCTAATCTGACCCTCTCTTCTGAATCCTTTCTCTGGGATTGATTAGATTATTTTCTCAGTTACTTAAATTGGGAAGCTTCATCCTTTTTTTCCCCTCAGTTCTTTAATGAGGTCATAGTCAATCATCAAGTCCTCTCTACAGTGCAAGTTTCTAAGAATTATCTGATCAGCCCACCTATCCGGAACTCTCATTTCTATATTGATTCAATCTTCTGTAATCTTTCCCATTGACATTGCCATGCCTCTTGCCTGCTTAGTGTGATCTCATTCTCCTTTCTGTATCTTATATGCATCTGAACCAAGCACTCATGCTTATCCCTAGAAGCCCTAGAACACACACTTATTTTCTATCTCTTGCTCTTGAATGTCCTAGCTTGTTTAGCAAAAGGACTGTGTATATTCAGTCCTGCAACTGTATCCTGAAGACAGCAACACTGAACACTGACCAAAATCCTAACCCTCTGAGTGATATGACAGAGTAGAGGACGCATATTAAGACAAACCAGCATCAAGATACACACACACACACACACACACACACACACACACACACACACAAGCATAAAAAAAAATAAAGATGTTAGCCGAAAGACACTGCTAACAGAAGCTATAAACATATGTAGCTCTACCGAAAGTTTCCACAGCTGCCAATCATTTGTCACTTGTCATCCCATCAAGTTTGCATTTCCATGGAGGAAACAAGTTTTATTCAACTGATTTTGCATATTAACTGAACCCACAGTTCAAGCCAGATATAGGACACATATCAATTGAATGTTCACTCATGGTGTGATCATGCCTTGGTCTTTATTAGAGTGATAGTTATGGAAGAAGCTATACCTTGTTATGTTATATATATTTTATATAAAAATACTTTGATTCAGTATTCTAATGTCTGGATAAATCATAGCCTAAATTACAATACTAAGGAAGCAATAGGCTCTTCTCTCCCAAGGAATCTTTTTGAGTATGAAAGGGTTTCTCCATTTCATAGTTGTTACAGTTTAGAGATAAGATATCTTCCAAAAGCTCATATGTGAGAAAATGCATGAAATTTTAGAGCAAAATGATTGGGTTATGAGATTTTTAGCTTAATCATTGCATTAATCCCCTGAGAGGGATTAATTGGGTGGTAACTGTAAGGTGTGGCTGGAGGAGGTGGGTCATTGGGAATGTGCCTTTGGGGTTTGTATCTGCTTCTTGGTGGGATATCCTGAGCTGTTTCCCTCTACCACACTCCTCTGTCAGGATGTCCTTCCTCACCTTGGGCCCAGAGCAATGGAGCTCGCCTTCTAAGGATTGGGGTCTTTTGTTCACAGCAATGAAAAAGCTGACTCAAACAATAGTGCTTCTTGTTTTGCTTTGAATGCACCTCAGTTTGGCCCATGCAGAGGAGGATAGCACAACACTCAGGAAAAGGCTGCCAGCCACATATGAGTCTGCAGCCAGAGCCATTATGGTGGAAACTTATGAACTTGGCCTCTAAAAAAAATAAGAAGCTTTGATGAAAGAAGTCATCCATCTCACACTCCATCTCCCATGTGGCCTACGCTGCTTAGTAAAGAAGGGGACTTAATGCACATACCTATTAGGTAGCTACCTCCATCCAACAAGTACTTATGATTTTTACTCTTCTGTTACATCACCATATGTCACCCACAGTTAGTAGGTTCTGCTTTTCAAAATACTTAAGAGAACAGAGCTCCGGCTGCTGAATGAGACTCAGGATAGTCAAAGTAAAGGAAAGTGAAGTACAGGGACTTCATGAGACTCCCAAGGCTTGCGAACTCAGGGGTGCCTCATCCCACTGTCTCCATCTTGTCCCTTGACTGTAGATGCCCCAGCCTGACTACATGCAACTGAACTTCCCAAATCACTGGCATTATGAAGCTTGGGATTGTGAGGCTGCTGTGAAACAGCCTAGTATGTCTGGTAGTAAATATACTTTGTTTCAGAAATATGGGAATGGTTCTGATCTTCCCAGGACAGTCTTGTCTTAGACTTAGTCCCAGCAGCAGAGGGAAGAATATCAAAATTAAAGTGGTATATACTTCAGAGTACTTACTTTAATTGTTCTCTGGATTCTCATCGTCTCCAAACACTCTACTAATGGCCTCTGATGCCTCGAGGGTATTTGATGCTCCGTGGACAGCATTTTTCAAAATATTTATTCCAAATCTGGCTCGGATGGATTCTGGGGACAGTAGTCTTGCTTCCTCTGGGTCAACTGTACCTATCAATCTTCTCCATTCTGCAATAGCATTCCACCTTGTCAGAACCATGATCAAAGATGGGCCCCTGCAAATAACAACACTTTAGGAAGATATGGGCTGCTTGCAACAGAGCAGATGACATACATGGCTAAAGTCGGAATGTCACAGGCCCAGCACAGCTGGGCCTCTATCCTGTCAGCAGAGGCTGCGTCAGTCTGCACTGTATCTTGACTTTTCTTCTTCTTCTTTTTTTTTTTTTTTGCATCCTGTTTCTTTCTAGCCCCACCTACATGGTGCCCTTAATAAACAACCTGAACTCTGCTGCTTCCAGGAAATAGAACCTGCAACAGAATTCAAAGTTAGTTTTGTTTTCTAAACTGTGATGGTATAGGTACTCAAAGTCTCTAGGTTTCTGTTTATTATTTGTATCTAATGACAACTTACATATTGGCCAACCTTTTGTTGGAACTCTGTAAATTTTGTCTTTCTATAGCAACAAAATGACAGTCACTGACAAATGTTCAGGGACTGCAAAGGGGAGATAATGCATTTAAAACTGAGAGAGCATTCTGAACTGTAAAGCCTAATAAGTATGTGCATATGTGTGCATGTGTGTAGGTGTTTCTCCAATTTTTTTTTTTTAACTCAAGGTGAATGGACATGGTTTTTCAGATAATTATGAGCTCTGTGTAAAAGGGACTTCTGTGGAACATCATTCTGGAGTAGAGATTCCCCGGGGCCTATCCAAACTCTAGTTTTGTGATTGTGAACAAACCCAGCCCTGGGCCTCTGTTCTCTCATAATCAAAGTAGAAATTCTAGTAAAATTATGACATAGAGTTGTCATAGAATCTAATGAGATATTAAGTATAAGTAGGTTAGAAGTAGGCCTGGAATTAAGTAAACACTCAAAAAATGTTAACCTTTAATTCTTATGGAATGCCTAACGAAGCTGTGTGTTGCCAGAAACAGATCCACCACGTGGAAGAAGGATATTACAAAGCAACATATTTAGTCTTATAATATTTACATATATATAACATTATTAACTATATATACATAATATTATATATAATATTACATATAATTATATATATATACTACATATCATAAACTTACTCAGCTAATACTGCCAACACATCTTTATAAAACTCTTTTTTTTCTATTCGGAAATAAACTTTTTTTGCCTCTTCTGGAGTTAGGACTATTTCCTTCAACTGAGTCAGTTCAAATCCTGAATCCTTGATGATCTTTAGGATGATCTCTGGGGGAAGCAAATATTTGGTTATATTGCAGATTGTTCCACTATTGCTCCATAGATCAAAATAATAGAGGAAAATAATAGTTTCACTTGCATATTGTGGTTTAAGAAGTCAAATCTGAGCCAAACTAAATTAGACTTTAAAGTCAACAAATTGTTACTCAGGAGAGTGTTAAGACATGAATGTATATGTTTAGTCCAGAAACCATCTGGGGCCCTAGAGGACTAACAAAAAGGAGAAGGAGGCATTAGAGCAGATTATGCTAAGTGAAGCTAGCCAAGCCCTAAAAATCAAATGTCAAATGTCTTCTTTGATATAAAGAGAGCCACTAAGAACAGAACAGGAAGGAAGAGCATGAGGAAAAGACTAACAGTAAACTAAGACGAATGGGGGGAGAGAAAGGGAGAGAGAAGGGAAAGCATATGGAAATGGTGGGAGACCTTCAGTGATACACAAAATTATAAGAGGTTATGAGGGGCAAGGGGGAGGGGGAAAAAGGGAGAGAATTGAACAACAGCAGAGGAGGTAGAGAGGGAAGATGGGAGGGGAGGGAAGGGGAGGGGGGATAGTAGGGGATAGGAAAGGTAGCAGAATACAACAGTCACTAATATGCCATTATGTAAAAATGTGAGTATGTAACAGAAGTGAGTCTGCAATTTATATTTGGGGAGTTCAAAACCCAATTGAGTCAAATGTATGAAAGATGATATATCATGAGCTCTGTAATGTTTTGAACAATCAATAAAAAAATGAAAATTAAAAAAAAAAAGGAGAAGGAGGAACCCTGCCAGACTGCTAAGAATAAAGATGTGTTTTCATCTCCGTGGTATAAATGCCCATGAACTTCTTCCTGGAATTGTGTTGGAGTGATGTCTCCTGAAAAGTTAGGTGGTCAGTGTAGGAAGTAAAGTGAATCTTATTAAAATTTCACAATGGCCTTAATATTGAGGACTGCATTCTGGAGACAAAGGACAGAAAGGCACAGTTAAAGTATTCTAAGCAGGACTAAGTCCTGATTTATTCTCCAGGAAGTCAATTTTCTTTGCAGTATGGAGGATGAATTAGGGTGGCAGAGGTGGATGTGGCCTTGTGTGTTCAAGGCATCTGTTCTCTGAAAAAAAAGCAGCATATTGGAAAATAAAAGTTGATTTCTATACTTGGTAATAAGCAGAAAGGAAGAAAGTGGCTGAGGTAAAATGATCCTAGATAAATAGGGAATATTGAAAGAGACATAGATCCACCTTCTGCCAAGGCCTACCTGATACAAAAACTACTCATTATACAAATCTGAGAGAACATTCTGAACTGAGAAGCTGAGAAAGATAAACCCAACGTCTCTTTAACTCTTAGTGAACCACATAAAGGAGATTGTGCAGGCAGGTCCAACATGCAATAATAAATGCTACCATGCACCCTTAATCTTACCTAAACTCCCCAAAGAGATCAAATTAAAATCACTTTTGTGATTAACAATATTTTTCTTCCCCCAGCAAAGAAAGGAAGAAGGAAGGAAGGTAGGTAGGTAGCAGGCAGCAGCAAACGGTCAACAAAACAGAAGACATCATAACACAACACTCTAACGTGGATCAAGAAGTTTGCACGTGAAAACACCATGAATCAAAACTTTGAAACTGTTAATCAAAAAGTAGATGTAAAATAAAAGCTAACTGCATTCGAGAAAGAAATCAAAGGAAAAGATAAAACCATTATGGAAATAGAGACCAAATTAAATGAGGTCTAGTGGATACGTGACAGAGAGAACGGGAATAAAATTAGCTAAAAGAGAGAAAATCGAATGAAGAATGAAAAGATGATAAAAGGGAAAGTAATGGATATAGAGGTTAGAGGTTAGG